ATGTGTTGCTGCCCATTATAACAGGGGCTCACTATAAATCTACCAATAATAGGGGCAGCACACAAATACAAAATCTGGTAAATAACAGAATACAAATCTTGTTAAATGAATTACATGTAGCTAGATAGATTCAAGTTTAAGTTAAGTTAATAAAATTAGTTAAAATGAAATTTGGTATTAGTATAGGTTAGTAACAATTTCATACAAATATAATTACTGGGTTAGAAAATTCTCTCTGCTATCTATAGAGTCAACTAAATAAATGCTGACATCTTTATCAATATCCTGACACAGATTTCAATCAAACTTTCCTAATGGATCTCCTAAGAGAATGAACATTAGCTTATAATCTTTTTTAATTTCTAGCAATAAATTTGTCTATTTTTTCCTTGAGAATTTCTCTTACTCCACACATCGTAATGTTTCTCTGTGTGTCAAAAAAACTACATTTAAAAATAAAATGTTCTAATGTCTGTTGTTCCTCCTTGCAACATGGACAGATTGTGTCAGTGTTGTCCCCCTATTTTCTTTTTTCATATGCAATTCCAAAAGTTTATGATCTTGCTCAAAATTTGAGTTGAGCTCCCTTAAATTCATGTATGGAATGTTAAATATTTTTCTGGACATTTCAAGTTGGTTTTAAACATCCTATAATGGATTAGATTGGATTTGTTTCCATTCTGTTTCATCACAAGTCTGAATAAGAGTTTTTAATTTAGCATCAGTTTTCTGTAACCTTATTTTTGTTTATGTTTATATTTTTCATTGTACATCTAAATTTTCCAGCCAGTTCCATTTTAGTCCATCTTGATTTAAGTGAAAAAAAAAATCACCTAAGTGAAAATAATGTTGCATTTAAAATGCCTCATACATTACCCGGTAACATGTGTAAAAATAATTTTTGCCCACCAGGAACTATCCATTTCATATACTCATTTGTAATATTTTAACTTCATTATATCTAACCTATTTTTTATTGTATTCAAATAAATTCTATAAACTCCTTAAATTCTGCAAATGTCCTAAGTTTGCTCTTTTCATTTTTGTCACCACAACGGCATAATTTACAGTGTGCCATAATTTTGTGATATTTTACGGGGTATTTTCATCCTACCATATTAGGAAATGCAAATTCCAAATATGGAGCAATTACCCACATGAGCGTCGTCCAATAATAAAAACAAACATGGCAGCCCCAAAGGTTTGACCGGACGGACTCCACACAAAAAAGTTCACTAAATCTGTTCTAAACTTTTTGCATTTCGGCATTCACATGATGTATCCTTGGAAGGAAAAGATGTATAATAACAAGGTTATTATGAGAATACCACAAAGTATGAACTCAGAAAGTATGCCGTCATTACTACTGCTGTAATGTCTTTGTGCATACTTGTTGGTATCCTTGTAATAACCTCATAGTATAATGACTTACATATGCATGTCAATTTTTATGACCATTTGATCAATTATGGCCAACTGGTGGTCATTTGAGATTCAAACGAATATGGCAGACTGGCAGCCATTTTGTTTTTATTAATGTCTGTGCTGATTCCAGACTAATACATCATCTGATTCAGATTGAAGTTTGCACACAAGAACTATCCTCACAGATAGTACTGTAAGTTTTGTTATTTTGTGATTTGATCAAATTTGACGAATTTATGGGCATTTTGTTTAAAATCCTATAATCACAGTCTGTAAACGTGTCTGGATCTATTTATCGGAGATGGACAGGTCAATTTTATTCAAACTTTGTATCATAATCACGCATATTGGGTTTCAGGTTCATGTTTTTTTAGATTCAACTAAAAATAGCTGACTGTCAGCCATTTTGTTTTTATTCATGTCTGTGCTGATTCCACACTGTTACTAATGTGAGTTTCTGAAAACTTTATTCACCTGTTTGATATTTAATTTCCTAAAATTTGTGTTGGACATTTTGGAATTTTAATCTATGATTGTGCTTGCACATTCTACTGGCCTTGTATTGACAACTTTGATTTGACAAGGCAATGCGCTGCATACACACTTGCAGCAACAAGATACAAGTTAGTCCAAACTGCATTCAGGACATCATTTCATAATTAAAATATCCATGTGACTTTACAATTTATAAATTGCAGTTCAAGTTTGTTGTTTCAGGGTCCAATCTAATTTTCAGTAAAGTAATATATATTGAATTCTGGATTAGATTTTAATGTAATAATGTGATCTGTTATAGGTTGGTTCCTGGAATGACGGTCATTTGTCATTAGATCTTAATGATGTAAAAATGTGATCTGTTATAGGTTAGTTCCTGGAATGACAATCATTTGTCATTAGATTGTAATGATATAAAATGTGATCTGTTATAGCTTAGTTCCTGGAATGACGGTAATTTGTCATTAGATTGTAATGATGTAAAATGTGATCTGTTATAGGTTGGTTCCTGGAATGACGATCATTTGTCATTAGATTGTAATGATGTAAAAATGTGATCTGTTATAGGTTGGTTCCTGGAATGACGGTCTTTGGTCATTAGATCTTAATGTAAAAATGTGATCTGTTATAGGTTGGTTCCTGGAATGACGGTCATTTGTCATTAGATCTTAATGATGTAAAAATGTGATCTGTTATAGGTTGGTTCCTGGAATGACGGTCATTTGTCATTAGATCTTAATGATGTAAAAATGTGGGTGAACAATGTGCAAACAAGTGGTGAAAATCTTCCAAAATCTGTCTGTCAGTCACCAGTATGCATGGACCCAGCTTGTGGAACTCCAGAGGATATTAAGGTATGTATTGTTGAGTTTAGTTTTCACAAAAGTTTGTCAATTTGAAAACTTGTTCATCCCATTTCAGTTTAATTGTTACTCTTCATCAAGACTATTAAGATTACATTAACAAATCCTGTTCATGAAGGGTCAAACTAATACTAAATTGTTTTTATATATTTTTGTTCTTGTACCTTTGACCATTTCCTTTCCCTTCAGGGATTTTGTAAGAGTCAATAAGTAAATAAAATAAATAAAATACATGTATTTAAATTGGTGAAAAATTATTTATTAATTTTTTATAGAGACACAACATTGTAAATGTAAAACCAAATTGCATCACAATTTTGGTGGTAATAAGTTGTAATAATAATAACTTTATTGCTTCCTAAGAAATACAATGTTTCTATCGGGTAATAGCAATAAAGATTACCGGTAGTTGTGGTAACTATAGCACTATAAAAGGAAAAAGGTAGGTATTAGGATAAAGTAATTGTTACATATCAGACGGTATTTTAATTTCTTGATTAAAATGAGTTATGTTTATCATTTTTTTTATTATGACATCTATTGAAGTTTTTTTTAGTATGGCATTATCAATACACGGAGAATGTATTTCAGATCAAAGTTATTATAGAGTGGTATAAAAGATTATGTCTTCTCTCAAAATAGATCTACATTGCCGGGGACATACTACTTGGAGGTTTGTTTCCGATACATGAGAAGGGACAGACTAACCATGAATGTGGTTCCATTAACACCGATGCGGTAGTCCTTCTGGAAGCTATGATTTATACCTTAGGGTTAATAAATGATGATGACACACATTTGCAAATGGTCTCAATTGGTATGGAATCGCTTGATTCATGTTTAAGTGAAAATTTAGCTTCACATGCTGTTCTTCAGTTTTTAAGCACGGCAGATTTTGGTAGTAGCGGATCTGGTACGAGACTCAGTGTTGAAACCGGAGAAACCGAGCATATCTTTGGCATTGTTGGTGGATCGGATAACGATGTCTGTGCTGCTGTTAGTAAAGTCTTGCAAGTGTATAACATTCCTGAAATAAGCTACAATGCTGGAAAGGCTTCTCTGAGTAACCAATATAACTATCCTAATTTTCTGCGAACAGTTCCTCCCAATACATTTCAAGTTGCCGCTATTATACAAACTATGGTATCAATTGGTTGGACTAAAGTACAAATTATTCACAGTGAAGATTCCTTTGGTTGGGATGGTACAAGTGTTCTAAGGCAGCAAGGCCCAAGGGTAAATATTACGTTTCTTTACTTCACTTATGTTCTTGCATATTAACTGCATTTTTGCAATAATCTTTGCTCACTTACTTAATTGAACATTTCAAGCATCCACTACATCCTGTGCGATTGGTTAAAACTTGACATACCCGAGATCTGGAAACCTTTTTCGAATATCACCGCATATAGATATCAAAGTTGCATATATGCTTATGAATCTATGCCATTAACTAAGGGATGACGTCAAAAGATCAATGTCGGATAAAAAACTTATTTGTTTATCATTATTTGATTGGGGGTGAGGGGGTTTTGACCTCAAAAAGTTTTCATCCTACAAAAACGATTTTGTTTTTGAATGAAGTCAAAATATCTTGAAGTATTTGTAGTTCGTTTTTTTTTCTATCCAATCATAGACAAAAATAACAGAAAATGTAAAAAACACACATCCAAGACAAGAAAATGGCCTGGTCTGAGTGTAAATATGAAATGAGGTCAATTTCAGGGCATGGACCTAGAACATGCGCAGAACCCAAAAAAGTACCATGTGTATATTCCCCTTCATTATTACAACCAAATCCTATGCCATACTACTGTCCGATTATCAATTTGTATTTAATGGTGAATGTAGTCTGATGCCATGATCAATATTTATAAATTAAGTTTAAGAGGGGGGTGGGGGCTTTTTGGGAAAAAAACTAAATGAATTAAGTTTTTTATCCGACATCGATCTTTTGACGTCATCCCTAATACACAGAGTGTTGCCGCGTATCCAACAGTTATTCATTCACTAACAATAAAGATCTTTTTTAAAAAGCTGTAAAAAATTTTTTTTATATAAGCAAACATCTATGATTTATAAAATTAAAATGACAACTGACTACCATTTGACAAATCGCATTGCATAGTGGGTAAATGATAGGATTTCATAATTCACATCAGGTTACATGTACATATCATAGTGTTTTTTACACTGTTCCAACACAAGTACTTTATTCATAGTTATGATTGAGTTTGTTAAATTGACAGTAATTATGTGTAATATCCTAGAATCACAGTCTTTTAATGTGTTCAGAATAATTTTTTACAGAAGAACAGGGCTTTCTACTTTGATCTGCTGGGTTATAGATGTGTGCCATTTTAACAACTGTTTCTCTGAGACTACTTGCATAATTTCACACAAACTTAGTACAATGATTCTACATATTGGATTTTGGTTGCACATTAAATTTTTTTTGTGATTCAACCAATTGCTCAGCCCATTATCAGCAACAACTGATTTGTCAGAGCATATTTAGCACACTTCTGGTTCACTGCTAGTGACCGGATTTGGCATTAAATACAAAATGGGGCTGTGTATTGTTGATGCATATTTCTTTATTTTCGAAAAATTTAATCAAGGTCTGTAGTAAGCTACTGGAAAAATACATTCACAGTGTTGCACTGAAATATTTTGAGAAAAAATAATGACATTATAAATAAAGGTTTATAAATTTATTTTATTTGGTTACTAGGCTGGTATTTGTGTTACTCAGTATTTGGGTGTTCAGGATCCCAGTGATGAAAATAAGATGGATGAATTATTCACAAAGTTCAATACTCGTCCTGATGCCCCAGGCCTTGTTGTATTGGGAGGAAAAGAACTAGCACGATCCGTGCTTCAAACGATTAAGAGAAATGATTTACAAGGGAAGTATTTTTTGATTGGTTGTGATAGATGGGGTACTGATCCAACCGTGGTTAATGGACTTGAAGATGTAGCAATGGGTGAGTGATTTTGACATTTTTACAATTTTATCAACTGTTGTCATAAAATAAAGGTGTAAAAGCTGTTTGGTAATCCCATATGCTTCCCATATTGATTACTTTTCTGTGAGCTGTACTTAAAATTATTCAGTTACTGTAAAAACTGTTACTCTTTGAATTCTATGTAATCATGGGTTATTTAAAATGACTGGCGGCCATTTTGTTTTAATGAATGTGGTTCTAGTGCCATATCTCTGACTTGCTGTGACTGATTATGTTCAAATTTGAAATATTTATTATACATCATGTCATAGATATATAGATATATTGGTTTGACAATCCTATTAAAAATTTGCCGAATGGTGGCCATTTTTGTGCTAAAAATCATCAAATATCAAGCATTTTGTTTAAACTTGGTACATACATTAGACATTACGGGTTCCTGATGCACCTTATTTTATTTTTTTAGATCGAATTCGGATTTTGTTTTAATGAATGGGCTTCCGGAGTCAAATCTCAGAATTCTTTGGACCGATTCCGTTCATTCTTTGCATGTTTTTAGTACTTTATGTGGGACATATACACATGCAGTGGTTTAGCGATTCGATTCAAAATGGGCGACTAGCAGCCATTTTGTTTTTTGAAAATGTTGTATTTTGGGCATGCTTTGTCAGTTTTCATTCAAACTTGGTACATTGATTATATATGTTAGGATACTTGTCCATGATGATTTATTTCACAATTAGATCAATGATGGCCGACTGGCAGCCATCTTGTATTTTGAAAATGTTGTATTTTGGACATGCTGTGTCAGTTGTCATTCAAACTTGGTACATAGATTATACATGTTAGGATACATGTCCATGACAATTTATTTCGCAGTTGGATCAAAGATGATCAACTGGCAACTTGTTTTTTATATGCGGTATCTTGGACGTGCTCTGTCAGTTTTCATTCAAATTTGGCACATACATGTACTTTGTACATGTTAGGTTGCTTGTCCATGACAATTTGTTTCAAAATCTGGTCACGGATGGCCGATTGACAGCCATCTGACTTTTTGGCCTTACTACTATATTTCCACAATTTATGTACCATTTTCATTCGTATTTGGCACATACATCATACATATCAGTGTGTTTCATAATCAGATCAAAGATGGCAGAATAACGGCTGTTTTTATTTTTGGCCATATTACTACTACACATAACACGCATTTTGATGTAAATAAACAATCTGTTGTATACGCCACTTGGAACTCAAGTTTCAAGGACACGCTCGGGACAACCCCTCCGCTGTAATATGACGAGCACAAAGGGAACTTTCAAAAATTTAACGGGGACTGTGTCATTTTCAATGACTTGTTTATTTTTACTATGTAGGTTCAATTACTGTAACGACCATTACTCGTTGAATACTATGTAATCATGGATCATTTATTTTTACCATGTAGGTTCAATTACTGTAACAACTGTTACTCGTCAGGCTCCAGGGTTTGTATCCTATATGCTTAACAGACAACCTGATGATAATGCAGTTAATCCTTGGTTTGAGGAATTCTGGATGAATAAGTTCCAATGTAAACTAAGTGGATATGATGCAGAATATGCAAATGAGTGTCAAGGTTAGTTTATACTTGTCTTCTATGTGTCCTTCTATTGGTCTATTTCATTGTGCAATATTCATAAGTTTACAAAACAATTTAAAATGGCCAATTTGTGGTCATTTCTAACATTCTGGATTATCAATCTCAAATATTTTAAATGTTCATTGTTCTATGAAAATGAAAAGATAATATTTTTATAGTACTCATGTGGTGGTAATCCAAAAACATGGATTTATGCCCGAGATGATCACAATAAAACTTCTCACATATATATATATATTATACATCTGAGATACATACGCATGTCATGTTTATACCTATAATTTAATTCAAATTGGCCAATTGGCGGTCATTGTTTTTCAACAATGCTGTTCTGGAGTATATCTCTGACATGCCTTGACCAATCATGTTTAAATTTTACAGATACATCATGTATATTTGTTTGACCATCAGATTCAAGATGGTTGAATGGTAGTCATTTTAATGTAAAAATTCATCAAAATCAAGCATTTTTGCCATTCCAGACCCTGAACTTGGTTATTCGTGGACAATTATAGATACATATATAACTGGATTGACCATAACGTTTTTTCCCAGATCAGATTAAAAAATGGCCGAAAATAAATGCCCATTGTTCTAAAGCCATGTTTCTGACATACATTGATTGATCACAATCAAACTTTACAACTACATTTATTTATTTGATTAAAGTTCTGTTTCAAAATGGCTGACTCATTACAGTTTTTTTTACTATTCCACTTACGAAGATTCTGTCATGACTTGATATGACTTGTGCTTAAAATTGCGGAACCCAAATTCGGATGGATGGATTTCATTCAAACTTTGTACATACATTGGGCATTACAGTTGTTCCACATGTTCTTCAATTATTTTTAATTTACAATTTTATTCTCAAATTTCTACAAACTGTTACGCCCCCATAGAATACAGTGCGCATAGGAATATTTTTCTGTGAGAAGTTTTATAGCCAAGACTGCATGAGACAAAACACACAGATTTTACCTTTTTAGCCTGCCCGGAAGCTACAAAAGATATATTGAATATAATTCATCTTGCAAAGTTTACTGTCTGGTATATAATTACACGTTACCAATGTATTAGTCAGTCATGTTTGTACACGATTTCTTAGACACCATAGTCAGTACTGAATGCTGCATTAGTGTATGTGAATGCTATATGCAGGGTAGTAATTAATTAGACTGATTTTATTGTAATATTGGTTTCTATGGTTACAGGTACTGAAAGTCTATCAGAAGCTGATATTCCCATCAATACTGTGGTTAATGTCATAGATGCAATAACTGCGTATGCATATGCACTGGACAACATTCATCAAACTAACTGTTACTCTGACGACAAAATTTGCCATGAAATGAGTGAAGTTAATGGGAAAGGCATCTCTGATGAGATTTTGAGCACTAGGTTTGATAGTCTGGCAGATGGAAGAAAGATATCATTTAATTACCAAGGCGATATACAAATGGGATTCAATATCTATAATTATCAAAAAGTTGGAAATCTTTTTTCCTATGAAAAGGTAATTTGAATGCTTCTACTTTTCTGATTGAATGGTATAGTCTATTCACTATTAACAGTTTGGATATGCATGTCAATAGAATTATACTTATCCAAACACCTAAATTTTAATTACTTTCATCTCTTTGTTTAACTTCAATAGGGGCATACCCAAATGAGAATTGTTATATATGCAAGTATTATGTATTGCAGTGTGATATGTATAATAACTAATTTGTTTTTTTCGTCCTTAGATTGGTTACTATGACAACAGTATACTCTTAAATTTGACAAGTGATATAAAGTTTTATACTAAAGATGGTGAAGAGATGGAAACACCCCCAAAATCAGAATGTATTGGTCCATGTGACGATTGTATTCCAATTGAAACAAAGAAAGTTGCTGAAGTTGCTGGAGGAGAAGTCTTGATAGGAGGTTGTACCACTTTTCATTTATTTTTTCACTTTCATCTTTTAAAGTTGTATTCCTACTTTTGTTACATGATATTTTTTATTTTAGCCAAAACTACTCAAAATCCACAGGCTAAAACGTGTCAAATACTGTAAAACCATTTATTTTCACTGAAATTTAATTTTACTATTTTGATGGTTTGAGCAATTTCACAAACTTGGTGGGAAACAATTAGCACAATTTTAGCAAATTTTACCTATCAATGAAAATAGCAAAATCAAGAACCATTGATAATTAATACATTCACAGTACTGAAAAGCACAGTCAAAAATACCAAAAAGGTTGAGACTAACATCTTAAGCGGTTCTGTCTGAATTGAGGTTTATATGTCATCTTGTTCTTATCATGTTAGTGATGTGATTCCTAATATTGTTAAAACAAGTCAAAATTTCCACTGCAGTACTATTGAAGTTGTAAAATTTGAATTCAGTTTCAACTATCTTAATAGTTTATCAGAAACATCGATAAAAGATGACCTAAATCATATTGTGACTGTCAAGATTTGAAGTTGTCAATAAAAGCAAATTACATAAATGTACAAATTGATTCATAAAAAAAATATGTTTTAGGTAATCACACATTTTGTTGTGTATATGTGAATAATCACACATTTTGTTGTGTGTATGTGAATTATCACACATTTTGTTGTGTATATGTGAATAATCACACATTTTGTTGTGTATATGTGAATAATCACACATTTTGTTGTGTGTATGTGAATTATCACATTTTGTTGTGTGCATGTGAATAATCACACATTTTGTTGTGTGTATGTGAATTATCACACATTTTGTTGTGTATATGTGAATTATCACACATTTTGTTGTGTATATGTGAATTATCACACATTTTGTTGTGTGCATGTGAATAATCACACATTTTGTTGTGTGCATGTGAATTATCACACATTTTGTTGTGTATATGTGGATAATCACACATTTTGTTGTGTATATGTGAATAATCACACATTTTGTTGTGTATATGTGAATAATCACACATTTTCAGACGCTGTGTAACATTGCAGTAAGCTAAAGAACTAATGTTGGAAATCAGCAAGTAGCATGGTTACTTCAAAATTCTTCTAGTAACCGTACATGTAGTGTGTTTAGGTTGTTTGCCAAACCCCAAAAACTGGTGCTGAATTTGTTCACCCAGTTTTCCACATTTTTTTATGCCAACATTACAGACTGTTTGTGGCATATTTCATCAGTGAAGTGACAAAAATTTATGTTGACTATGTTTTGTAATGAAATGGGGGGGGGGGGGCAAGGGGGATAGCTGGTACAGGTTACAGCATGGTGGTTGGTTACAGTAAAGGAAATAAGACATTTTACATTTTTACACAAAATAAAATGAAAATTCCATTTACAGTAAAAATAAGTTTTTACAGTTTACAGATAAAGCAGATTCCTAATTACATTTTACATTTTTATAATATATTTGATAATTTGTGTTTAAGAATCAAAATTGGAAATTATTTATTAAAATTACATTATTACGAAAATAAAAACAATCGATTACAGCTTACAAAAATACCCCTTGCCGAGGGGACCCTCATGATACTGTCAACTCTGAAAGAAATTCTTAGAAACTCGACTCCAGCAAATTGTTGCACAATTCTGATTTGCCACTCTGTCCTCCCTGTTCTAACAAACTCATCTTTTTTCAGCTAGTAATGTCTCAATGGCATGGTTTTGGTGATCAGTGAACGCTCTACTGTATTTTGATACAACATAGCGGATTGGCTGTTTTTTTGTGTCGCATCTCCCTGTCTTGTTGTTAAGAGTGCCTAAATACACACTGTAGTGGTTCAATGTGCCAAGGGTTAGTTTGAAAGGATGACCCGAAACAAACGTTCCTTGACTGACAAAGACGATTATACTGTAAACCGCTTAACTTCGCTAATTGATGATGTTATAGCATTTGTGAACACAGAATTTTGTAAAAGTTGCTGAATCTTTTACTGAATCGAAAAGTACGTTAAAATTTGTCTCGTGAAGTCAAAGCAGTTTACAGTAATTAGCAGTAATTAATCTGCATAATAATTAAACTGTTTATTTGATTTATCTGTAGGTTTATTTGAAATTCGGGAGCCTGGGAAGACATTACTTGATTGTGGTGACAATATTATTATGTATAATATGCAGCAGGTAGAAGCATTCCTGTTTGCTGTTGACGAAATAAATGCTGACAATGAAACATTGCCAAATTTAAAACTTGGTGCCATTGCTTTTGATACATGTGGTATTTCAGAACGTGCTGTCAGAGAAACTACCAATTTTGTAACTGGTTCTGTCGAGTATCGATCCGGCTATTCGTCTGCAAGACCACGTGTGAGTGCCATTATTGGTGGAAGCACCAGTGATACATCAGTTCATGTTGCCACGATTCTCAGTGCGTTGATGACCAACCAGATAAGTTACGGAGCAACGACTGAAGAATTGAGTGATACAGACACTTATCCTTTCTTTATGCGTACAGTCCCGTCAGATGTATCACAAGTTGCAGCTCTGATAGATATCATCTCATCCGTCGGTTGGAGCTATGTTTCTGTGGTGTACACCAACAATGCATATGGTCAGGACATGATGAAACAATTCACTGACGCAATCAGACACACAAATATCTGTATCGCTGCAACTTTGATGCTAGATCTTTATGATACAAACTATGACTTTGTAACTGATTCGCTTGATGCACAAATTCAATCTAAAGTTGCTATACTTTTTACAAGTGATCTTCAAACTCAGAAACTGTTGGAAAATGCAGAGCGTAAGCAGCTTCAGAGAACCCATTGGATTGGTACAGATACATGGGGGGATAGAATGTTTGTCGTAGAAAACGCAACATCCACCTCCCAGGGAGCAATCACATTGCAGTTCAGGAAAAAAACGTCTAGAAAGTTTGAAGAATATTTCACATCGTTAAACGGGTATTCAAATTATCGTAACCCGTGGTGGCAGGAATGGTGGATGAACCATTTTCTGTGTAATCTCAATGTCTGGAATCTAGACAAGATTTACGATTCTATATGTTCAGTTGAACTAGATCTTTCCAATGATTTTGAAGAAGAAGCCAATGTTCGCTATATTGTTGATGCAGTCTGGGCTTTCGCAAAGGGTTTGGATGCAACATTGAATGATCTTTGTCCGAATCAAACACATCACCTGTGTCCTGAGGTTGTTGAGAACCCTGAAATTCTTCATAGAAATATTTTGGAAGTGCAATTTAAAGGTCATGGTGATGTTGACTTCAGTTTTGATTCTAATGGTAATGGTCCACCATCTTATGATGTGTTCAATTTACAAAGAATTGGTGACACACTTAAGTATATTAAAGTAAGTTATCTTCTTCTTACAACTTGTTTTACATCAAAGTAGAACATTCTCTCAACTTCTTGTATATTCATGTATAATTATTTTTTTCTTGATCATACTGAACATTATAATTATAAAACACAACACAGCTGTAGGGTCACTAAAAACTACAACACAATAAAAAAAATAAGAGATATTTTTTACAAATGTTCCTGAGAATTCATTGAGAGCGAGAAAGTCATGTGACTTGTTTTGATCCCCAGTGTTCCATTTTATGTGACTTGTTTTGGTCCCCAGTGTTCAATTTTATGTGACTTGTTTTGGTTCTCAGTGTTCAATTTTATGTGACTTGTTTTGGTTCTCAGTGTTCAATTTTATGTGACTTGTTTTGGTCCCCAGTGTTCCATTTTATGTGACTTGTTTTGATCCTCAGTGTTCAATTTTATGTGACTTGTTTTGATCCTCAGTGTTCAATTTTATGTGACTTGTTTTGGTCCTCAGTGTTCTATTTTATGTTACTTGTTTTGGTCCCCAGTGTTCCATTTTATGTGACTTGTTTTTGTTCCCAGTGTTCTATTTTATGTGACTTGTTTTGATCCCCAGTGTTCCATTTTATGTGACTTGTTTTGGTCCTCAGTGTTCAATTTTATGTGACTTGTTTTGGTCCTCAGTGTTCTATTTTATGTGACTTGTTTTGGTCCCCAGTGTTCAATTTTATGTGACTTGTTTTGGTCCCCAGTGTTCTATTTTATGTTACTTGTTTTGGTTCTCAGTGTTCAATTTTATGTTACTTGTTTTTGTCCCCAGTGTTCTGTTTTATGTTACTTGTTTTGGTTCTCAGTGTTCTATATTATGTGACTTGTTTTGATCCTCAGTGTTCAATTTTATGTGACTTGTTTTGGTCCTCAGTGTTCTATTTTATGTTACTTGTTTTGGTCCCCAGTGTTCCATTTTATGTGACTTGTTTTTGTTCCCAGTGTTCTATTTTATGTGACTTGTTTTGGTCCTCAGTGTTCTATTTTATGTGACTTGTTTTGGTCCCCAGTGTTCAATTTTATGTGACTTGTTTTCGTCTCCAGTGTTCTATTTTATGTGACTTGTTTTGGTCCCCAGTGTTCTATTTTATGTTACTTGTTTTGGTTCTCAGTGTTCAATTTTATGTTACTTGTTTTTGTCCCCAGTGTTCTATTTTATGTTACTTGTTTTGGTTTTCAGTGTTCAATTTTATGTGACTTGTTTTGGTCCTCAGTGTTCTATTTTATGTGACTTGTTTTGGTCCCCAGTGTTCAATTTTATGTTACTTGTTTTTGTCCCCAGTGTTCTATTTTATGTTACTTGTTTTGGTTCTCAGTGTTCTATATTATGTGACTTGTTTTGGTCCCCAGTGTTCTATTTTATGTTACTTGTTTTGGTCCCCAGTGTTCTATTTTATGTGACTTGTTTTTCTCTCCAGTGTTCCATTTTATGTGACTTGTTTTGGTCCCCAGTGTTCCATTTTATGTGACTTGTTTTGGTCCCCTGTGTTCCATTTTATGTTACTTGTTTTGGTCCCCTGTGTTCCATTTTATGTGACTTGTTTTGGTCCCCAGTGTTTTATTTCATGTGACTTGTTTTGGTCCCCAGTGTTTCATTTTATGTGACTTGTTTTGGTCCCCAGTGTTCCATTTTATGTGACATGTTTTGGTCCCCAGTGTTCCATTTTATGTGACTTGTTTTGGTCCCCTGTGTTCCATTTTATGTGACTTGTTTTGGTCCCCAGTGTTCCATTTTATGTTACTTGTTTTGGTTCTCAGTGTTCCATTTTATGTTACTTGTTTTGGTCCCCTGTGTTCCATTTTATGTGACTTGTTTTGGTCCCCAGTGTTCCATTTTATGTTACTTGTTTTGGTCCCCTGTGTTCCATTTTATGTGACTTGTTTTGGTCCCCAGTGTTTTATTTCATGTGACTTGTTTTGGTCCCCAGTGTTTCATTTTATGTGACATGTTTTGGTCCCCAGTGTTCCATTTTATGTGACTTGTTTTGGTCCCCTGTGTTCCATTTTATGTGACTTGTTTTGGTCCCCAGTGTTCCATTTTATGTGACTTGTTTTGGTCCCCAGTGTTCCATTTTATGTGACTTGTTTTGGTCCCCTGTGTTCCATTTTATGTTACTTGTTTTGGTCCCCTGTGTTCCATTTTATGTGACTTGTTTTGGTCCC